ATTCTCCAGACGGGAGAAGGGCTGGAAATGGAGTGAAGGGTGGACCGTTCCCATGTGAGGAGGCCTCCACAAAACCCCCCTAAGTAGGGGGTTCGCAGAGCTTCTGGGTTGGCGAACACGTGGAGGGCTGGGAGGGTGACCACCCCACCTCCACGGGGACAGAAGTCCTGCACTGGGGACCCTCCCAGGGCTCCCCATGCGTCCCTCTTCCTCCAGTACTCATCTGCACCCCTGGCCACGCCCTCTGTTACGAGGTAAACGGGCCGACATCGGGACTGCTCCCCCGGGCTCTGCGAGCTGTCCTAACACGTGGGGGGACCCAAGGTGGGAGGTCCCGAGGGCCTGGGACGGCAGCCAAGTCGGACAGAGGTTGGTTGAGGCTGGCTGGGGACTCACGACTGGCGACTGGCACCTGAAATGCGGGTCAGGCTCCTGGGACCGAGCCCTTGGGCTGTGGAGTCTGCGCCGACTCTGGTCAGCGCCAGGGTGGACCTGGCTGCAGGACCCCCACGGGGCGGCACGCGGCATCGTGCTGGAGTGGGGGACACCCCCCACACGCCTGGCCTGGGCAGTGCGGGGAGGGGGCGGGCGGCCGCGTGGGAGCCGTGCCGCGGAGGAACACCGCACACGCTCCTCCTCCTGCGCCGGCTGGGTGGCCCCCGCCGGGATGTCCACTTCCCGCGCCTGTCACGCAGAACGTGACACGTTATCTCACAAGACATCGGGGAGGTGGCGCCCCCAGAACAACCTGGCTCCCGGGGTCTGCCAACCCGCCCTTCCTGTTCGGCGGCGTCTCCTCGCCGCCAGCCAGGAGAAGCAGTGAGCCCCGGTGGTCTGGGGTCAGGGCTGGGGTCCCCTGCGCCCTGGCCGTTCCTGGAGGCAGCACGTGCCTCCCGAGTGTCCCCTGGATGCCGGGCGCTGGGCTACGTCTGCGCACGTGCAGCTCAATCGCACCCTGCGCGGTCTTCACCGGGACAGGGGTGGGGGGCGCAGCTCGGGGGCAGGAGGAGGACCGAGGAGGCCTGTGTGGGTGGCAGAAACGCGCGGGGAGCAGGGTCTAACCCAGACCAGAGAGGGAGATTCCAGAGGGCTTGTGGCGAATAGAGGAAGTGCTGTCTGAGACTTCCTAGATGGTGGCCATACGCCGTGCGTGGCTTTTCAAGTTTACATTAATTAGAACGGAATAGATGGAAGATTCGGTTTCCACGAGCCCCACTTCAAGGGCTGGAGAGCTACCAGGATGCTCCCCACCATCCCCACCACTGCGGAAGGAAGGTTCTGTTGGAAGATGCTGGTAAGGCCGAGGCTGACCGAGGAGGAGGAGTTATCCAGGCCCAGGGGGAGAGGCGTAGGTCCCCAAGTCCCTCCCTAAGAGGCAGCATTCGGATCCCAAAGGGAGCGGGGCTCCCGCGGGAGGCGGGGAGGCCAGTTCCCGCGGTGGTGCATCCCCGGCCACCTTGAATTCCCTGCTCAGGACAGCAGGGAGCCATGCCCAGGTGGGCACCGGCCAGCCCGGTGAGCGTCAGCTGGGTGACTGGCCTCAGAGGTGAGTTTGGGAGAATGGGTTGCAGGAGGAGCAAGACGACCAAGCAGGAGGCGGCCGCATTCCTCCACGGCGTGGACCAGCCACGGAGGTAGGGACGTGGGTGGAGAGATGTCCGGGGTGTGGCCAAGACACTGGGGGCGCGGGGAGTGCGTTAGAAGGGGGAACCAAGCACCCGGCGAGAGCTGTTCGGTGGGTGGTGCGACGATTCCCTGGGGAATCGAGGAAGAGGATGAGAAACTTGTCTGAAGACTTGGAACTGAAGGGAGTGGGCTTCGGCTCTCCGGACGCCCCGCCCCCCCCAGGGTGGCTCCTCAGGGAAAGCACTAGAAAGGGACAGTGGGCTCTGCGCCCGCAGAACTCCCAGGTGACAACAAGGGTGGCACCGTGGCCCCGGGGCTTGCAGGGGCATGGGAGGGGGAGGGGAAGTCGGCTGCTTCCCTTCCCTCCTTTCCAACTGCTCCTCCAACCTCACCGAAGCCACCCCCTCCCAGATGGCTCCCCACCGCCCCTGAACTCCGGGTCCCCGCAGAACTGCCCCCGCGGGCGGCGTGGCCTGGGTCACAGGGCGGTGACAGGGACTCCCAGTTCAGACTCCTCGAGTGTCCCTCCCAGGTGCCCCTCCAGCCTGCCTCCCTCGGGGCACCCCGTTGTCGATTCCTTCCCTGTCCGCCCCTAGAAACGTTAACTCGCTCATTCCCACGCCTCCCCTGGACCATTTGTATTTTTGAAACGCACATTCACATACAGTCATAGCAATAAGGTCGAAAGACATGTGTCTATTACTCCGTATCGCCTAAGATAACCTCACCCACTCTCTGCCGTATATCTGCCCCAGCTTGAAAAAAATACTGCCTGAATCACTCGTTCTATTTGTTTTTCTTTGTTATTTATGTACAGGGTCCGGCACAAATAATGTTCCTCTCTTATTACGAAATCTTGTACTACAAAATCATCAGCATGTCATTCTGTAACATAACGATGTCACATTCAAGCACACGATATGACATTTTAGGTAAAATATCCCAATGAAGGCTATGACTTATTACACCCCTGTTATCGCCCTGCCAGCCGCACTCAAGCTGGTCCCGCTTCTGCCGGCGCCTGTGCCCGTCTCGCTTCCCCAGCAGACACTGAGCCGCAGACAGCACATGAGTCTCATCCTTTGGGGGATCTGGAAACGTCTAGCAAAAACACCTCGGAGGTCCACTAAATACACTTTTTGGTTTACCTTTACTTTTTACATTTGAACTTAATGCCTAAACTTTAAACGTAGTTGGCGCGGAATATTACCTTAGTGTCCATAAATCAATACAGCCTACATTTGGCACCAGGCACTGTCGTGGATAGCTAGGAGCAAAGATAAGATCAGCAATAAAGCCCGGTACACATTTTTAAAGACTGTTTCTTGGGAGCAGTCGTGGGTTCCCAGCTAAACGGACTGCCCACGTACCCACTTCCCACATGTGGCTGGTAACGGGCTTTCAGAGAATGCGAAACCTCCCTTTTCTCCCTTAATCCTCTGCCTTCCAGTTAATTCTAGAGAGAGAAAAGGGAAGGAAATCTGATGAGCCAGAAAGGATGGGGAAAAGAAAGGTATATGGAGGGCAGGTTGGTTGGAGGAGGGGCAAGATGGAAAAAACATTGGGGCAACAGTAACAGAATAAAGAATTTTAAAAAAGTAGGAGAAAGAAAGAGAGAGAGAGAGAGAGAGAGAGAGAGAGAGAGAGAGAGAGAGAGGGAGAGGTGTTAGCCGCACAGGAAAAGGGAAGCTCTGGTTTTTCCTAGAATCGCAGCAGCATCTGCGAACCCAGCATGAAGAACATTTTCCATTTGCTGAAAAATCCAGCCTGCCCTAGTCAGGCATTCGGAGTTACCAGCCAGCCTCATCTTGGGGTGTCACAGCCTGTTCTCATCACCCCACACGCGAACACACCTTCTCCCAGAATCACCCGGGCTGCCGAGTGAACGCGGCTGCTGTGGGTTCTCCTGACAAGCAACCCTGAGTCTCTGCCCTTTCTGCCAAGATCACGGTCTCCAAGGACCTCGTGGACGTGTGGCGGAGCTACGTGGAGATATTTGATGGACACACTTTTTTTATGAGAAGTCACGAGACCACCAGGACAATGATGTTGGAAAGGCAGTCTGGGAAGCACACTTATAAAGGACCTTCTGCACTCATCCAAGGAATGTAACCTTTCACTTAGGGCAGAAGTGACAAAATCGCACAGAGACCAGGCATGCGCATGAGGGAAGCCGAGCAGGCACGAGGGAGTGGTGGGGTCTGCGGCAAAGTGGAGTACCTTGGCCTCCCTGAGGGGGCAGCTGCTCTCTGAGGCAGCTGGTCGTTACTGTGTGGGATGCTTGGCCCAGCGTAGCCAGAGCTCACCGTTTCCCAAGAGAGCTGGAAACACAGGGTTTAACAGGGCCGTCCTGGGTTTTTAAACCATGTGCGCCAACCCAAACTGGTTTTCAAACCACATACGGCTCGCAAGCCATACACGGAGATCACCTTGGCAGATCGAAGGGAGCTGATGTTGGCTTTTAAATAAAAGGAAAAACATTTTAAGAGGATATGACCATCGTTGTATTTTAGAAAAATCACATTGCATGTAGGAGAGGAATTATGGGAAACCGACTAGAAGAAAAGAAACCAGTTAGGAAAGGCAACAGCTCTGACAGCTGGCAGGTGGCAGAGGCCCGCACTGGGGCGGGATGGCGGATGACGGAGTCCGCCACAGCCCAGGATTCCACGGAGAAAATCTAATCTGCGTCTGGAAGGAAGCAGGCAGCCTCTGGCTCCCCCCTCCCCGCCCCCCCCCACCCCTCCCAAGCTGGGAGCTGAAAGGCCCTGGGCAACAGATCGTATCTGAAACCAACCGACCGGAAAATTTAGCAAAGACTCCAACTTCGGGGCAGTCTAATTTTACCGACAATTCTTTTTTTTTTTTTTGATCCTTACCCGAGGACATTTTAAAAAAGATTTTGTTTATTTATTTTTAGACAGAGGGGAAGGGAAGGAGAAAGAGAGGGAGAGAAGCATCAGTGTGTGGTTGCCTCTTGTGCACCCCCTACTGGGGAATCTGGCTTGCAACCCAGGCGTGTGCCCTGAGTGGGAATTGAACCGGTGACCCTTTAGTTCACAGGCTGGCACTCGATCCACTGAGCCACACCAGCCAGGGCCTGAGGATATGTTTTTCTTCATTGCTTTTACAGACAGAGGAAGAGAGAGAGAGAGCTTCAACGATGCCTGGACCAGGGATCATTTGCACCCCAACAGGGGATCAAATCTGCACCCCAGTTATGTGCCCTGACCTGTAATCGTACCCACGACCTTTCGGTTATGAGACAACATGCCAACCAACTGAGCCACACTGACTCGGCTGACCTGTGGTCATTTTAGAGGTAGAGTCCTTGACCGACTGGCCCAACCCTCACTCGCCTGCACCGGTGAGCTCAGCGCGTAACGACAATAAAATAAAAACAGCACGCAGATCGCGGCGTTTGGCTCGTTACAGCAGCCAGTGGGCAGCTCCGAGCCAAACCCTCTCTTGCCAACCGCAGAGGGAGGAATGGGCTCCCCGAGAGAGGCCGCTCCGTGGAGACAGACCTCTGGGCGGCGGCTTCAGGACCAGGCCGCGCGTGGTCTTGCTGCGGGTTGTGCAACCGGCCAGCTGGGTCCAGGAAAGGAGGCAAAGGGTAAGGCGGTGGGGAACGCCAGGGAGGAAAGGCCAACCGACCTCAGAAAGTGGTTTCTAACACCCAGCCAGTGCGGTGGTGGAGCCTCTTGCCTCCGCAGACCCTTCCCACTCTTGAGGGCTGCGTCTGCTCTGGGCGTGGGCACAGGAAGTGGCTCGCGCCTCTCTGGCAGCGCCCGGGAGGGCCCCAGGGGATGGGAGCGAGGAGCCCACGATCAGTCAGGCAAAGGTTAGGGAGGGAAGCGAAGGCCAGGCCAGGCCAGGACGGCTCCCCTCCCTCCGGGGAAATGTTTGTATTTCTCCTCCCGGAGGGGGGAAGGACAAACAAGCTCTTTTCGTGCCTTCTGGGCAGCTTTGCGCTCTCCAGCACAGACAGTCGGTGGAGCCAGCGCGGGGCTGGAGGGGAAAAAAGCCGTCCTGACGCCGGACCTCTCCACCCCGCTCCGGCGTGAACCTCCCTGGACCTGCCGGCCGCTTCCCAGAATGACCCCTTGTGGGAAACTGCCTGCACATCGCAGCCTGGAGGGACGACCTGCCTGGGGGACAGGAAGCTTGTGACCAAGGCTCCGGAGAAAGGACGCCCCGGGGCTGTGATTTCCTGGCGGCAGTTTCTGTTTGCCTGTGGCTGCACCCACCCCCATGTGTGGTCTGCGCCGTAAGTACCTGCGTCCCAGGGAGAACTTAGAAAAGCAGCCTCGGGGTGCGCGGCAGCCTTCAGACGAGAGCGCCTGCGCCTCTGCACGGACTCCTGGGGCCGCCCTGCACACGGAACGCTCGCCCTCCGTCGCCATGGACAACGGGTCCTGCTGCCTCCTCCAGGGGGACCCCATCGCGCAGGTGATGCCCCCGCTGCTGATTCTGTTCTTCGTGCTGGGCGCCCTGGGCAACGGCATCGCCCTGTGCGGCTTCTGCTTCCACATGAAGACCTGGAAGCCCAGCACGATCTACCTGTTCAACCTGGCCGTGGCCGACTTCCTGCTCATGATCTGCCTGCCGCTGCGGACGGACTACTACCTGCGGGGCCGGCGGTGGGCCTTCGACGACGTCCCCTGCAGGGTGGCGCTGTTCATGCTGGCCACAAACAGGGCCGGGAGCATCGTCTTCCTGACGGTGGTGGCCGTGGACAGGTACTTCAAGGTGGTCCACCCCCACCACGCGCTGAACGCCATCTCCAACCGGACGGCGGCCGGCCTGGTCTGCGCCCTCTGGGCCACGGTCATCCTGGGGACGCTGCACCTTCTGACGGAGAGCCACCTGTGCGTGCAAGCGACCACCGTGTCTTGTGAGAGCTTCATCATGGAGTCGGCCAACGGCTGGCACGACATCATGTTCCAGCTGGAGTTCTTCCTGCCCCTCGGCGCCATCCTGTTCTGCTCCTGCAGGGCGGTCTGGAGCCTGCGGCAGAGGCGGCAGCTGGTGCGGCAGGCCCGCATGAGGAGGGCCACGCGCTTCATCGCGGTGGTGGCGGCCGTGTTCGTCACCTGCTACCTGCCCAGCGTGTCGGCCCGGCTGTACTTCCTGTGCACGGTGCCCTCCAGCGTCTGCGACCCCTCCGTCCACATGGCCCTCCACGTGACCCTCAGCTTCACCTACATGAACAGCGTGCTGGACCCCCTGGTATACTACTTTTCCAGCCCCTCGTTCCCCAAGTTCTACACCAACCTCAAAATCTGCAGCCCGAGACCCAAGCGTGCGGGGCGCCCCAAGACGCGGCGGCCGGAGGAGATGCCCATCTCGGACTTGTGTCGCCGGAGCTGCGCCAGCGTGGCCAACAGCTTGCAGAGCCAGTCGGAGCTGCCGTGGGATCTCCGAATGTGAGCGCCCCGCCCCAAAACAGACGGACAGAATCCAGGAGGACAGACTGGAGACTTCGAAAGAACTCCCGCGAAGGGGTGGGGGCTGGGCTGTGATCTCCTCGCTCTGGTGGAAACTGACCTCAGGCTGCCGCGCCTTTTTGGAAGGTCCCAGTGGAGAAGTGAGTGGGTCACATTTATGGGATCTGATTGCAATGACAGCAGACGACAGGTGCTCGTAGTGGGCATGGGGGGTGGGAGGGGAGGGGGGTGTCAGGAAGAGCTGGGCTCCTGTGGCATTTCAAACAGCTGAGGAAATAGGTACTAAGCCTGTCCCGTCCTCTCTCTCCCGGGGAGTTAATGAACTTGGTGACCTACCAGCATTTCTTCTCCTCTGACCTGAAATCATCCCTCGTCTTGGAAAACAGAAACGGGACTAAGTCGACACCTTTATGTGGGGCTGAGGGAGGCTCTGCAGACTGGAACACCTTAGTCTGATGGTTTTCATCTTCACGGGGGTGGGGGTGGGGGTGAGAGTGGGGGTGGGGGTGTTGCTCGTCTCTTGACTGCTCGGGAGCCCGGGAAGAATGACAGCAAAAACAATCTGCTCTGACCTTCTCCGGGCTCCGCATTTTTCTGCAAGCCTCTGCATTTCAAAGAACACGCTGAGGGGTATGTTTACCTGCCCTGATTTTTCCAGTGGCAGCTGGAAAAGAAGTCCCTCTGGCCTTTGGGAAGGGCCAGGTCCAGCAGAATTGCTTTAGCCTGCTTGTTCCGTGGCTACGAGTTGAAATGACTCCTTCATTTGTGCCGTAGTATTTACTGAGTGCATGTGCTGTGCCGGGCACTGTGCTATGTCTTTGTACCTGGAAGGTCATTCGTTAGTCAATGCTTAGATGATAGCAACGGTATTTGGGGGGGAGGGGGTGTGGCAGGAAAAGAAAACCCCAAAAGTTTCTTATGCTCTGTAACTGTAACACTTGCAAAATTTTACACAGGACTGTAGAAGCTGACAAGTCGTAACCAAAGCAACGGCCAGTTACTCAAGGTCGTACACAGACTCCCATGATAAGCTCCTGTGCTCTGTAGCTTCTGCAAATTCCTCCTGAGTTTTCTCTTTGTCTCCCATATAAGGTAGCTGGACCTAACTTCTGCATTCGGCTTCTGTAACCTTGCTTCGCCACGTAGGTAGGGAGCCCGGGACTATTTAAACCCCGGGAAAGTGAGGATCGGTGCTCAGGGGATTTGGATGTTAACCACCCCCTCTGGGCCCCCGGGTAATAAAGTTTGTGCTTCATTATCTTCCCGCGTGTGGGTGGCTTTTCCACAACGGGGGCAGAGAGGTTAATGACCTTCACCCTTTCAGTGCAGCTTGTACAGCGGTTTGGAGAGCAGTGTCTGTAAAATCAGTGTGGGATTCTGCACACACATTGAGGGTGGGCTCCGGGCTGCCCATGGGGTTCCCGCATGGAGCCCTCAAAGCTGATGCTTCCTCGAGACCACGGGCTGCTCTGCCCTGGGCTCGGGGGAAGACGCCAGGCCAGCCTCAGCCGCATTCTCAGGCCACAGAGTGGTGAAGGTGGTTCTCGGCGTCCTCATTTCCACTTTCTCAAATTCCCAGGGTACTCTGTGCGCTCGAGAACCGGAGACGCTTTCTGTTTATTTGGTTTTTGTTGGATCCTCACCTGAGGACACTGTTTCCCTTGCTTTTCTAAAGAGACAAAGGGAGAGAGAGGGGAAGGGAGGAAGAAAGAGAGGAAGAGAAACATTGATCATTTGCCTTTTGTACGTGTCCTGACCGGGGACCAAACCTGCAACCCAGGCATGTGCCCTGACCAGGAATCGAACCCATGACCTTTAAGTTTGTGGGATTGTTACAGAACACAACAAGGGGGGCCCGGGACGATATACTATTATTGAAAGAAGGCCCCGGGTCCGTTATGTCCGCTGCCAGAGGAAAGACGTCTCTCAATGCTAGAGATTCATGAAAAGGAAACGAAATGTTTATTTAATGCTATACAAACTTAAAGTAGGGACCTAATGTCTTCATCAAAAATCCTAAAGTCCCTCAAAACACCCACAAACACACACACAGTCCTTCCTTCCTTCCCCCTTTGCCCAGTCCAGAGTACCGTATCTCAGGAAAGGAAATAGAAGTCCATGGCTCAGGCAGTCCTCTGGTTCTTCACAGTTAATACTCCATCTCGACTGGGAGACCTCCCTGGGTTCCCGGCACCCTCAGCTGAGTCGCCGGGATCTCTGCTAAAACCAGGTGGTGGTTCCCCTTCTAAAGCTGCGGGGGTCCCCACTCTGTCAAGGCCGCGTGGTTCTCCCTCAATCTCTGAGGTCCTCCCTATTCTGCTAAAGCCGCATGGTTCTCTCTCTCTGGGATGCGGGAGTCTCCACTCTGCTAAAGACGCATGGTTCTCCCCCTCAATGGCCGACAAGTCTGGGTTTTAAATCCCCGCGGCCAATCATCCTCTACAGCCTCATTTCCGACTCCTCCCACACTCGGCTTCACATGCCAGAACTCATACCCTTCCAGCTTTACTGGACTGCCATCATGAGTCTGGGCAGGTGTGGCCCCACGTCCTGGAGCCAATCTTCTCCGAGCTCCCACGGAGGCGCAGGCGCTGTAGCTCGGGGGATCTGCCCTCAGTCTCGTCTTGGTGGGGAAGTTACTTCCATCCCCCTGGCTCAGGGCATGGCCACAGCTATTTAACATATCTAAGCGACCAGCCAAAGACTATAGATATGTTAAATGACCATGCCAGACGGTAGCTGCAAGGCTGTTGCTATGCAAAACAGCTCTCAATGGCCCTGCTCCATGTGTCCCTTCCTCCAACCCACACCCTGGGTAGGGGGATGGAGACATCTTAAAATCTCCTGGACACCTTAAGTTCTGGACCCCATTTCAAATGTCCATTTGGGGTCCCCCCTCTTGGCTGCACCCTGTAACAGGATGACGTCCAACCCACTGAGCCACACTGGTCAGGGCAGGACCGTACCAGCTTTTAGTCCTTTGGCTGCTTTTTTTTTTTTCAGAAGCGCCACAGAGCCTAGTAAAAGCATGTGTCACAGGTGTGCACAGGTGTGCACAGGTAACCAGGTTCTTAGTGATCGAGGACAAAGAATTGAACCGAACACAAAAAGTTTATAGCATAAAGAAAGAGGGGAGGTTTATTAAGTGATAGTACACGCCACAGGACACGGGAGTGGGCCAGCTCTGAGCAGAGGAAAAAAAGGGCACGTGGGCTGGGGGATTCTATTCTTACAGGGGCAGAAGCCCCCCTGCTAGTCTTTGGCGGGCTTTTCCTGCGCAGGTACAAGGAGTTGGATTTCAAAGCTACTGCGCATGTGTGGTTTCCCATGACTTTCTTGATTGGCTACTGGAGAAGGGAGTCCCACAAGGTTATTTCATTATAATGATATTATAATGAATCGGGGTAGCGCGCAGGCGCATTCTATGATTCAGAGTTGTCCCAGAAAACAGGAACAACCCGTCTTAGGGGGTCTTTGTCATGTATAGGTGTTTTCTACCTCCGCCCTGCGGGGCCTCGGGAGCTTCCTTCCTGACTACCTCCTGCCTCAGGCGTAACAAGAAGGCTGAGTGCAAAAGGTCGTTGGGCAGATTCAGCAAATATCAGATTCTGAAGCATGGGGACTTGGGTCACTGTTATGTCCCCAGGGCCTAGAAGAGTGGCTGCACATAGTAGGTGCTCAAGAACTCTTTGAATGCGTGAATAAGTGCACGGGAAGCGGGAAGCCCGGGGAGCGGCGGTCAGTGCTCCGTGTTATGGCTCTTTGCGTTAGCCTCCTTTTCACAGAAAGAAACTGAGGCACGGAAGTAATTTCCTTTGGGGTTCAGAGCCCCTAAGTGGCCACTGCATTGTGGCTTCCTGAATTCTTCTGCTTCCCAGGTGCCTGGGTTAGGGTTAGGGTTAGGGTTTGGGAATTTTTTTTTTTTTTAGAGAGAGGAAGGACTGGGAGAGAGGGATTTGTTGTTGACTCTGGTACGTGCTCCGACCTTGGATCAAACCTGCAACCTTGGTGCATGAGAACAACGCCCCAAGCAACTGAGCTTCCTGGCCAGGGCGGAATCCTCGTCATATCAAAGAAACAAACATCTTCCTCAAAGAAATCAGTGAAAACCACGCTTCTGCTTTTGCTTCTTTTCTTAGTTCTATTCCTTTCCTGGGCTGCTCCTTGGTTGCCTCCTTTAATAAAAATGGTTCCCGAAGCGAGTCCGTGCCTGCGGGTATGGCCTTGTGGATGTTCAATGACTCATAAGGATTGACCCTCTGCAAGGAGTGGGGAAAATCTTAGACCATGAGAGAATAGGAACCCAGCTAGTTAGAGCCAGGAGATTACTAGGTTAATGAATGAACCTCTGCCTTCCCGCCAAATACAAGAACGCTTGGTTTGAAATTCCCGCACGCGCACGCGGTCTTTGTAAGCGAATTGCTAACTGCCACGCCCACTCCCGTCTCAGGCTTGCTGGCCCGCCCCTATAGGATGACGTAGTTGCAAGTGGGCGGCGCGGCTCCCGTTGGCAGCTCCTTGTGGGCACCGTGTCTCTGGACACTCTGAGAGTTCGCCCCTGCGCGGGTTAAACTTGGCCAATAAAGGAACATCTTGGATACCCTGAAAGTCGCCGATATTTGTTCTCGCGTTTGCTGGATGCTATATTTGGAGGACCCAGTGCGAAGCGCCCCCCCCACCCCCCACCCCGTGGAGGTTAGGTTCGGAGACGGGACGGGAAGCTCTAGCCGCATAAGTATTCGCTGAGGATCCTCTTTTGGTTTCTGGTTTCTGGGCTCTGGAGCAAATAACCCTGAGGTAGTAGGTAGGGCTTTGCCGGTAGCCTACCCAGGGACCTCCAGAGGCGGGACGCCACCCCTAGAATTTGGTTTTGGGAACTAAGTAGTGACCGGTCACGTGAGGTTCCCTTCCCCTTTGCGCCGCGCCGCACCGGAAATATTTGAGCGTGTGAGTGAACGTGCTGGTGAGTGACTGTGTTTGTAGCCCCACAGGGAAACCTACGAGGCATGGGAGGGCCCTGAGCTGCGGATCCTGTGTCCGATCCTACGGCATAGCGGCTGGCAGTCTAACCCGGACTCTGGTCGGGCAGCCTTAGCCAAGATCGACATCACCTCGCGAGAGGGCAGGCCAGGCGGGCGAGCCACTGGGTTCTGTGTCTTGTTTTGTCTGCGCGTGGTGTCACATGTTGACTTCTGAATGACATGTCTCATTCGTGTGTGAGGGGTATTGCCTTGTCTGTCGCCTTGCTGGTTTGTATTATTTGTCTCTTCTCCTATGTCCCGGACCTCATCAGAATGGGCCAGCAGGAGCCGGTGCCGGGGTCCCCACTTGGGGAATTGTCTGTTGGGGAATTTTTCCGATTTCCAGCAGCGAGCACGGGGGTATGGAGGACCCCCACCGGACCCGGAATTTTTAAGAACATTAAGCCAGCTCGAGTGGCCCACCTTTGATGTCGGATGGCCCTCGG